TGACTATAAACAGCTTTGTCATAAGAAATTCACTCAAAAGTAGCAAACGGATTTCTTCTATACACTATATTCAAAAGTGAAGGCAATGAATACGCAGTTAGAATCGAGTCCTATTTGAGTCTACTAGAAAAAATCCGGCAAAACTGTGTCCTTATTCAAATAGTTCACCAATGAAAAAATAAGGAACACAAAGTATAGACGAAAAGTAAATTATTGAAGCAAAAGTTTCGTTTCTTCAGAAATTTCATATCGTAATGAATACAACAACCTTTTTCCAGTAAAACATGCAGGAGAAGTTGGAAAGTGTACTTCTTTCACTGACTGTTTCATTATTCACTCAGCCAAGAATAACCTGTTTAAACAGTCATATGGGACTTACAAGCTTTATTTCCTCAACAAAATACACTTGAGGCGATACCTAGACTGATTTCAGAAGCTTTACACACAGGAACTCGAGAATGGAGAGCAATCAAAACTTGACAGCTAACAGCTTTGTGATATATTATTTTCAGATAAACACCTTCATTGGCCTAAGCGGAAAACTTGAGTGTTTACGTTGATGACTTATGTGTTTTGATCAGTATTTCCATGTGGCCTTTGAATTAAGCATACACAGTAACGTTAAATAGAAACTATGTGCCCATTTGTAGTTATTACACTGAGACTCTGTACCATAATACTTATATTTTACCGGACTTCTACTTAGGCCTAAGGTTGAATAATCGTTAGTCTGTATTATTATTGTCTGTGAGTGTATGCCATTACTATGATTTATAAACCTGAATATTCCTATATGTATAAAACTTGGGCACTGTGGTAGAGAATAACTCCATTATGGATAAGATTTCATTTTGATAAATCACACAGTGTTATACAGTAATATTTACTGATGACGTTTCGAGCACAAACTATTGCTCATAATCATATCAGGTTGAATTGAATATTCCTAGTAGAGTATTATTAAGAAAACAAGTTGATCTTATTCACTAACAGCTGGTTAGCTGAAAGTATAGGTATAAAACTCGCAAAACTTTGAGGAGAATTGACACTTTCGCCACTATATTATACACAATCTTACCGCAGTGTGTTTTTCATTCCAGACGGTAGCAATCATTTTCCTATGCACCTGATTAAAAAATTAAAGAATATTTATATTTGGTCACATAAATTCAACATAGACCATTGCCATCATTGTGTAGGACTGTGGTGGTTTGATAGTCTGATACTTGCCAACCAAGCTTGTGGTCCATGATTGATTTTCGGGCAGCTCAGTACTTAACCTCACCTAGCTTATTAGCTGATAGTAAGCTCGGGTGAGATGAGAGGTTTTGGCGCGGGGTAGGCAATCCCACCCCTTAAGAAAACAAAACGGCTACCACAGAAATATCCTACCTCAAGTCAATATGTAGGCTAAAGAATGAAAAAATTTCGACTGAGGCTTTTAAGGTTAGTCGAAGCAATGACATGAATCCGCTCAGATGGTTCACTTTTAAGAAATACTTTACAGGCAGTCTCAATAAATATACAACGGTGTGTACTACAGACATGATCATAACATAAAAAGTGGCAAAATGAGAAACTTGATGAGTTTTTGAGCGAGTCCATTTTTTGCACAGTTACAAATAGACGATGATGATCTTATCTCGTAAATGTAAAAACTCACCTATAACCATATGATTTGTCTACAGTGTCAGTAATGCGACACACGTATTCTCAGAATTCTTCTTAATAAATAAAAGCAGTACTAACTTCGTTGAAATGACAGAATGTTGGCATATTTTCAGTTTTCATTTCTATGTATCTGATGCTGTCAGAATTGTTTTTATGGCCTCGTTGATTAGAAATGACACCAGAAGGCAAAATAGCTGAATGATGAGTATGTGAGATTTGCAAATGCATTATCAGTGTCCATCTTTATGGTCAAACGGTATAAAAACTCAAGTTTTCATAAGACAAGTGGGACAGTTTGTGTGAACTGAGTAGTACTCTTTACAGAGTTGAGGACCATCATTCTTTGGGGGAAAAACTTATTTAATAACTAGTAATTTCATGAAATAACCAGTGATATCTAAGCAGTGTACTCGAATAACAAAGTGAATCAAAGTTTTCTAATTTCCAAGTGGTCTTACTTTTTCTCTTCTTTTACAGTAACTACGTAGGCAGTAGGGTTTCACTCAGACTAGCTTTTGATATATTCATTAAAAAGGTACAGAATGTAAATATGTAGCACTTTTCCTATCTTTAATAAGTCTCCTTCTCTTATTTATTGAGACTTATAAACTCCTTAATTGGAATATCAGCAGGAACGTCATTGCTCAATAGGATATGTATCCAGCTACGCTTCGCCTATTAACTGACGTCAAGTCCATTACTCCCTGGCTTATTTTATATGCACTATAGTGTTTCTTTCAAACGCACAAAAGGTATAGATGATGCGATTTTGTAGGGATTTGGATGAATTTCAGCGCAAACCTCGTCACTTACCAACACAAGTTAGACATCAATGGAAACTGAGGTGCACTGGATAGCTGATTCATACTAGGTGAGAACTCTTCACTGTGTTGAGGTGAGGTGGACGCTGATTGAAAGCATTTACTGATGGTAGTGCTGTATGACGAATTAACAAAGTTAGAAATGACAGGTGACTGAATTACAGCTGCGCCGGTGGCACAGTGGTTAGGACTCTCGCCGACCATGCACATGGTCCGGGGTTCGATCCCCTGCCGACGCACACCCGATATCTATGGTCGGCCTGCAAAATTTGGGCTACCGATATCCATGCTGAAAATTCCATACTTGTACTGAAAATACGGTGTGGAATCAAGCTGTAAATAAAAAATAAAAATAAAAAAAAATAAATAAAAGTTTATTGAGCTGGCCTTGTAATCTGTAGGCTGCAGGTTTGATCCCTGTCAGTATGGTGGATTTGGACCGCTGAAAGGTTCCACAGTAGGACGAAACGGCTGTCTACTGCCGACTGGTTTTCAGTTGTCTCTATCTGTTTTTGGTTCATAACGAAGTGTACATTGGCAGTGAGCGTAATTTCACGGCACTGATCACACTTTGTTTACACAGTGACCACGTGTTTAGATGTTTATTAACATATTCGCTTGTGTGAAACCAATGGATTTGGTAATAGTTATGAGCAGTTACTGATTTAGATAAGAGGTCTTTACAAGTAAACAATAATGAAAACTTGACATGAAAAAGATTTTAGTTTCATTCATCAACTTTTTTGTATAGCGTTGAATTATAAGCAACAAGGAAATTTTACTCTACAGTATATGAATGCATAATTTGACCTCATATACTTACAGATAACCACAAATTATAGAAAACTCAATTGAATACAGTACGATATTGTTTGATACATTTACTAGACACACATGCCGTTAGTATTAAAGCTTTCAAAAGTATTGTCAAGTCTAAGAAAAGCAAAGTATCACTTTGAATAGTGTTATTAGAAGACGGAGATTATCTGAAAAATATGATGTATTTACGCAATACATTTCGAACAGTCTGATCACACATTTACTTACCAAGTCAGTTTATATGAAAAATAAGGGCCAATTAAAGTACACGAAGTAACAAAAAGGATTTAAGAATAATAACAATAATTCACACTACGTTTGGTTATATAAATCAGATAAGGGTTACCAATGTAGGTTAAAAGTAAGAATAAATTGTTTTTGTACACATAGTTGGGGGGGGAGAGTTTAATAAGTGCCCCTGACCGTTTTCAAAAATAACCTTAAAAGGTGTTTTCACATCAGTCTTGTGGTTCATACTGATTAGGTGCCACCTGCCTACATACCTTTTTCAAAGTTCTTTTGTTTTTCCAGACATTTCGGACTATGCTCTCCCACCCTCACATGCAAAGCGCAACTACTTCTTCTTATGTATATGTGTTCAGACACACGTAAATTAGTATGTATTGTGAGATGTGCCGTAATCATTTGTGCACTTTTGAGGTTTGTAGTGGAGCATATTTTTGGCTTTTTCAATAATTATAAGCTGGGCTGTATAGTAGCTTCTACAGGTGACCACGTTTAGTCTCTGCCCTAAAATCCCACTATTTATTTCTCCATTGTATGGTAATTTAGTGAAAACATCTATCTTGGAGACAGAATAGATTGTAAGTTTTAAAACTAACTGCCATCTACACCGATTTTAAAATTTTAAGGGATATCCATTTTCAGAAAGAGTATCCATCAGTATTTTATTTTCCTCCTTTATAAAATCAGCTGTACAAATACGCTGAGTCCTCGTGAATAATCACTTCACCAAACATCGCTTATTCTGTAGTGGACAGAAGCTGCGAAAATTTAAATACTGCCCTGTCCAAATAGGGTTTCTATAAATTGATCGCTCTAGTGAACCCTCTTTTCTCCGACTCAGAATATGTCTAAAAATGCAAGTTGATTGCGATTTTCTTCTTCGCATGTAAGACTTTTGCCATTTTTTACAGAGCTGATTCCATCCAGTTGATAACTGGCATCTTCATGATTATTGCACATCAAAATAATGTCTTCTACATATCTGCTATAGAAAAGCACTTTGGCAGTTAATTCAAGCGGATGAATAGTCATTTTATTGTAATAACACCGCGTACATTCTGTAAACTATATGATTCACACATATATATATGCTAAAATTGTATCTGTTCTCTCGGTAGTGCATTTTAATATCTCTGTAGCATTTTGTATATGTGGAAATAATTCAGTTCGAATATCATTGATCGGCTTAACCTAAATGTCTACCTAAAACACACTGTTTATAAAAGTTCCTTCCATTCTGCATAAAGCAAAGCGTAGATACTGGTTTGTGTACACACTACATTATTAGTGAAACTGTTTTGTATGTCCTCACAAGTTGATTGTAGTTACTTTTCATCAGTACACACTATCAGGAAGTCTCCACTTGACTAAGATCTATGATACTTTTGGCTGAATTGTTTTGAAAAAATTCTTTTTTTTGTAAAAACATTTCTTTATCTACAGATTGAAAATCTTGCTGTACCCTTAGTTCAATGGGAAAATCCTCATTTCAATTCATTATATCCTGATAAACCAGCAAGTGTTCTCAATGCAGCTGATGGATTCACTTATATCTCTGCATTTACATTAGAATATTTACGAATATTTCGTGCTTATATGCCTGATTGGAATGGTAATTTCAATTGGACAGGAGCACTTGTTACAGATAAAAGTCCAACATTTATAGCAGGTAAGCTGGAATGTTTTGTTACTCCCTTCTGTTTTAATGAATGATTGCATTGCTCACCTTATTCTGTTTTTGCTTACGGGATTAAACATTTCCTAGCCTGCCTTAAGAATTCCTTGTAGATGAGCTATATGGGCACAGTTACTACATAGTTTCTTTTATTGTTAAAGGCATACACGAGTATAGCATAAAGAAGGGAAAAAACGGACAACTATCGATGAATAATAAAGTTGTCTTCTCAATTTCTCTTTCGCTTTACAAATGGCAGTGCAGTCAATGGTATTTTAAGATAACATGTAAGCCTACCTATTTAGCTATCGCATTAACAAATACACAGTAATCCATGTCCTTCAAAATTATCTAAGAATGTAGAATGCAGGCTCTGCCTACGCACAGGCGCTGGTTCCTAGAATAAACGGAGTTAAAAGATTAAGATATGCGTACAAATTAGGCACCTCGGTAGTTTGTACTTCGTCATTAATTTATTTATTGGATATATCAAACACAGTGAAATAGTATTACGTCCTGAAAGACAAATATGAAAACGCAACTCATTGTTTACAATCATATCCTCAATAGTAACTACACAACTTCGAAAATTAATTTTTAATAATCTTCTCCCTATGTCAGTAAAATTGAGATGAGTGAAATGTTGAAGTAATGGGGCCAAAAAAGATTAGTGTCAAGGAAAATCTAAGGCGGCAAGTAAGACATATAACTGAAGCTTTGACACTTAATAATAATTACCCTGATAAATAATTAGGAAATATATAGTACGATATGCATAACAAACATACGCAAAAACATGGTGGTGCCAAACATAGAGAATTTAAAATTTCAGTAATGGTTCCATACAAAGAAAAAACTTCTGAAATCTTACCTAGAATTCTTAACACTGTGGGATCAAAAGTGGTATTCGAACCCATAAACTCACTTAGAAAGAAATTGCGTCGGCTTATGGTTCATGTGTAGACCAATAAGCAGAATAAATTTGTCTAATGCCCCACAATAATTTTGAGGTCAAATACCCTATGCCAATGTAGTAGGCCAGGAACAGTTAAACCAGTGGAGCACAAAAACCTGGTAAAATTTAGATTAGTAGACCTTAATAAGATAAGAAATCTAGAACAACGCTCAGCTATTACAATACATGCAGTTACACTCAACCATACAATCAGATTGGACAAAATGACAGTCTTAAAATCTAATAAATATAACAGGGTGTAGGGAGAGATTGATAACTCAAGCTTTGTTTTTGTCGAATCAAATGAGAACCCTTGCAACAGAAAGGATTCAACACCTATACTGGACATCTAGACAATTCTACTACCCTTATGACAAATGGGAAGGAAGCAGGAGAACCATTAAAATCAAGTTTCGAAGTTGTGTAGTTACAGTATTAATATGATTATGAACAGCTAAAATGTGTTCGATACGTTATCCAGTGGACAACAGTGTTACACTGTTTGTGATATATTCAATAAACAAGTTGAAAAACTCTTTAACTACCGCCCTAACGTATTTTAATACATCTCAAACCTCAAAGGTGCTCACTGTGAAAGACACAAACTACTGTCAACATGTAGAAAAACTGTAAATTATAATTTGTTTATCCAATCTACTATCATTGCAAAATAACCGATAAAGCTAAACGAAGCACATGATTAGGTAGGCAACTAGATATATATTATCCTTTTCTGCTTATATCATCAACGTTATTTTTTGTTGTTTTTCAAACGTACATAGACATGTGAATTAGTATTACGATTTGTTAAATATAACGCTAATTAGTCCACACTAATTAGCGTCATATCGTTTCAATCTTATCACAATCTTATTTCTGATAAATATCATAATTTCACTTTGTTTTCAGTTTCAGTAGAAATCAGCAGTAATTAATTGTTACATTACACTCAGTAGTGTAAATTTAATTTTCCAACAGAAAGCATATATATATATATATTTTTCTCACATGATACTACCTACCATTTTAGACAATAATATTGTTCCTTAGTGTATTCAAATTTGGAATATGAACACAAAAAATTGCACGTGAGACAATATGCATATTCATAGTAGAATTACTAAATTTCGCTTTGTACGTCTTTTGTAGTAGCTGTGATGTTCTCATTGGATTATGTATAACTGAAAAGAACTTTAAAGCTTAGTGACTTTATAGTCAGCACACTTTCATACGTGTTACGTCACAAAGCAGTCGTAAAATTTACAATCAAAGATATTCACTTTCTCAACAGATAAACAAACAAACAAAAAGAAGTAAATTATTCATAAAGAAAACAAGTGAAATATTTTAAAATTAATTTTCATAAGTTTAACTAGGTTAAGTCAACATGTACTGAAGTTTACCACTCAATTGGAAGGCATTAAAACAATCTGTACCAACTTCAACCTGCTAAACTAAACATACTGCCTGTTTAATTAATCTAATTTTGTACTTCCTTTTGAACCATCGTTGCGTCGGTGGTTCAAGAGTAGGACACCCGCCAACTATTCACATGGTCAGTGTTCGATTCTTGGCCGACGCACTCTTAAACCTCGATTAACTGGTAGTAAGCCCAGTAAAAGGGGAAGGATAAGCTTCAGGTTAGCACGATGTAAAAAATAAAACTGTTACTTAAACTACAGAGCTCAAATTTGTAGCCCAATGCTCCACTTCGAAGGCTAAGGAATTAATAGTATAATAATTTCCAGTTAATTGGTTATATTGGACTGAAATGCCTGGTCTCTGCTGACATGTCAACCCCCGTACAACTTCGACGATGTTTGAAGATTAACATGTTGCTGTTTGATGAATGGTGATTAGCAGTGGAATACAGTAAATACATCACAGTGAGTATATAATTAAATCCAGCTGACGACTCCCAAATAGGATGAAGTACACACCTTGGATTCTGCTGCCAATTACCATCCATTGCTTTTTTGTAAGTATTTAGCTCAGTCAATTAGGATTTACTGTTTGTGATGATAAGTACTGCTAGAGAGATCATTGAAAACCAGAGGTCACTGGACAGCTGTTCCATCCTACTTTGAGACTCTGCAACAGGGTGCATCCATGATCATACCAGGGATCGACCTGGGGACTTTCAAGTTACAAGAAAAGCTCGTGGACCATTCAGCCACCTGAGCTGGGATTCGATGACCCATGTATTCTGACTTTGTCAATTCGTGATATAACGCTACCACCATTCAATTCCATAGATCAGGATTTACTTCACCTTGACATTGTGAACCCATAACAGGACGAAATAGCCGTCCAGTGTTACCTGATTTTAAATGATCTCTAAAGCTGATGTTGGTTCGTGACGAAATGTAACAAATGAAACTAATCCAAATCCCCACGAACCCCACAATCTGAATATGTAACGCTTTGTTACCTTGACTGAGAAGATCAATACAAAGAAAGCAGATACTAGTATCTAATGGGTTTTTTTCCTTCACGTTCCCAGTGGAACATAGGGCTCAAGCTAGTGGCTTGAAGATTCTGTAGCAGTGTTTATGTTTACAGGATGGGTGCTAGCCTCATGCACATCCTTTCCTCTTCACCAGTATTATTTCTGGCTTAGCGAGGTAAAGGAGTGCGTCGGCTGGGGATCGAACCCCGGACTATGTGCATGGTCGGCGAGCGTCCTAACCGCTATGCCACTGACGTACCAAAAGTTAGTGAGTTACTAAGTAGAAATACATATGCATCATAAACACTAAAGACACTCAATAGAAGGTTCACACTGATTTTTCAATAGAACCATGGTATCTAAAGGAGGAATAGTGAGATGTTAGTGTCTTGTATTGCTAATGTATAGTGTTTCACGTGTTCAGTAGAAATTATTATAATATCTTCCTTCCTTGCCTTTCAAAGAGGAAAAATAGTCTCAGCTAAGACATTTGTACCAACATCTTATTTTATAATGTGCTCAAGTGTTCCACTATCCAGTATGAGGTAGATTATACTGTTGAAATGTAAAGCAGAAAAGAGTACACTTACCAGACTACACGGCACACTGAAGCACATAAGACAGTACATTTAGCCCGAAAGCCAAGAAAAATGCAGATTATTGTAACAAAAAGAAATGCAGATTTAGGCGCGCAGATTCAAGATACAAGTTCAGTGTTTATCCACTTATATTCAGTACATTTATATCTTTGATAACTAGTCCACTATGTTCACGTGGCTTACATTTATTAGTTTCATGAATTAATTTCATGACTTTAATATTGATTTTTAAGCATATATTTGTTACATGGACAGTAAATTTGATGTGTATTGAGTGTTATGAAATATAGATTGTGTGCAAAATTTATGCGATAAATGTCTTTGTGAAACAAAACGTATTTAGAGAAGATAATTCAAAGAAATTAGGTAATAAAATAATAGAGAAGATTCGTTGCTCAGATGGATCTTTAGGTATTCTGTTTGCGAAGCTGAATGGCTTAGTTAGGAAGCTTTCATTGTCTAACTGGACAGCATATTCATAGTTGACTTCAAAATGAAATGAGCCTTCAGAACTCTTCGTGAACGAAATAACCTTCTTTGCTGATGAAATTTTCATCATTGTGTCCGTTAACACAAACTAGCAGTCAGAAGATAACACATAAACAACTACGGACGTTAATGAAAAAATATAGACATCTTAAATAGAGGAAATACCATTAGTGATGGAGAATTCCTAGAAGCCTGGTAGTTAAAGCAGTCTGTAGCTAACAGATATGTTGGTATAGGTTAAACTTATCAACCAAAAATGTCAGGTCAGCGAAAGTCTCCAGTGACAACTAATCACAGTTAAGGTCACTAGATGGGAAGGTTATTTCGCCCATGAAATAATCACTGCAAAGGCTTTCTACAAGAAAAAAGAGAGCTTCTTAGTTGAATTATACAACTCGGAGAACACAAGGACAGCGAAAGTACTATCAGTATATATAACATAAGAAGTATTTCTTTTCATCAAAATTAATACTTTATTTAGATTACGGGTTTTTGTAGGGATTTGTGTTGATTGCAGTGTAGATTTCGTCACGAACCAACTTCTCTTTAAGACAATCATTGAAAAACAAACATCACTGAGTGACCGTTTCGTCCTAGCTTGAGACTCTTCATCATTGTGCGCCTACGACCCTACCAAAGGTCTAACCTTAGACCTTCAGGTTATGAGGCCAGTTCCTTGACTATTCAGCTGTCCATTTATATCATCAAATTATTATCGGTCACATCTGGTCGTCTACAGAATGCAGCAGGAGATAATGAATTCCTTAGAGTTTCTTGAAAGTAGGACAGTTACACTATCTTTCATTTCGAAACCAGCTACCGTAGTTATATTTACAGTCAAGCAAACACTTTTCAATCTAGATGATAGGTAAGTCTATTTTTGAATTCACCTTCAAACGGTTGCTAATGAAACATGTCATATCAATACATTGGTTTTAAGACCACACATCATTAAATTAGAACCAGCTGTTAAAAATACGTCAAACAAATATTCGAAAGTATTTCCGTTTTTAATTTTTGGAATCAAGAATGATTTCAGAACTATTCGTTGGAAATAATTTCCTAAAGAATTTTTTGTCTTTAAAATAAAATTTTCTAGAGCCTGCACAAATTTTACTGACATTTGAAACAACTGATGAAGTTTACTTTGTTCTTCGTGAACAACCAAGTTCTCAAATGACAAAGTGTGAAACGAAACCAGAGAACCCGACAAATCCATTATTTCACACAGAAAATTTGAAAACATCTGAACAAGCATATTGTTTAACAAGTATAGCACGTTTAGTACGAGTGTGTAAAGGTGATCCTGGTGGCCTACCGCATATTAGTGCCAATCGTTTCGCTACCTTTGCAAAAGCTGATCTAATCTGTCCTGCTACAAATGAAAACGGTGGATATTTCAGTTATACTCATATATCAAACGCTTATTGGGATAATAGTTCACAGTTGTTGTATGCAACTTTTACGACAGAAAAGTAAGTTGAACAGTTTTCATTTGTTCATTGATAGACTAACTGCTTTTTTGGGATTACAAGTATCTGATTAAAATTTCCTTTCTGTTTATCGACAAATTTCAGCACATATAGGCACTTTTTATAACATCTAGCCTTATATGTGTGTATAAACGTACGGTAATTTACTGGAATAATGCTTCGAGTATCCAGTGGTTCTAAAAGTTCATTATGATATGTTGTATCCCTTAGATCTTTACAAAAGCATCTAAATAGTTTGTGATTAATTTCAAATGATACTTAGTCCCACTGCAGCGTTTCTTTGTACTGCAGATGCTGTCAGTTATAAAAATGAACTATACTCTTAAAACATCCCGAAATTTCCGATAATTCAACTGCTTAATACAAGAGGAAATGCTCCATCACAGTCTTCTAGGTATCTACAGTAATACCGTTTAAGAAGGGAATATCTAAAATTCTTCTCAGGATTCTTAATAAAACAGCAAATAACGTGATATTTAAACCTAGAAACTCACATAAAGACAAGGTCTGTTGAGGCAAGGACCCTACTGACCCAAATTGGACAAAATAATTTAATCTACAGAATACCTTACAACGAACGTGAAGTCAGTTAGGTTATAAGACCATAAGAATTTAGCTAAGTGTAGAATGATTGACCTCATGATGATGCATAACTTAGAGAAAAACTCAGCAATCGCAATGCATACACTTACAATCAAACAGTAGGGTGCAACAAGGCTACAGTTCTAAAAAGTAATATAGTTAGGTGGGTGGAGACTTTGACCACCGAATCTTTGCTCATCGAATCTATACCTAACTCGTGCAGTAGCAGTGATGCAACGCCGATACCAGATATATGGAAGATATTATAACCAATAAAATCAAGAGATAAGAAATGGTGGGACTGTAAAAACAGTTTCAAAGTTATGTGAGCACGTTGATATGACTATGAGCAATAACTTAGGCTCAAAACCTCATCAGTAAATAATACCATATTAATATGTGTAATTCTAGCTAATAAAATTATTACGTTATGGAATTATACTCCACCACGCTGCCCAAATTTAGCTCTTGTATCAATGAATAAGCCTCGGTGACACAGTGGTAGAATGCTTGCCAACCACGCATGTGGTTCGGGGTTCGATCCCTGGCCAACGCACTCCTTTACCTCGCTAAGCTAGTAATAAGACTAGTAAAGAGGGAGGGCTGGGTATGAGGCTAGCAAACCCATCCTGTAAAAACTAATCACCACTGCTACCGAAACTTCAAAGCTCTAGCTTGAAGCCCTATGTTCCACTGGGACTGTGAAGGAATGAAAAAATCAATCAGTGATCTATGTAACATGTGTGTGAAAAAAAAACTAATGTAACCAAGACTGTGGAAATAAAACATTCATTCAACAAGTTAGCTCATCAGTTATATGCTCAGATCATATTTAGCACAATTTTGAACATTCCGATACAGAATACTGCCGTAGAATGACTTACCTAATTTCACATGCGCATATCAAACCGAGCGGGCAGCCATAAACAAGTCGCTTTAAATCTAATCACCTACAACAATAGACCTGTTAAATAAAATAATATTGTTCTGATGCTTTTAAATGGCTAACGGTGAGTTACATTTTAAAAATCTTCCAAAATTTTTCTATATTTTGAATACTACTGAATTCATATTATTCCGAAAGCATACTCTAGAACAATATTCACAGAGTATATCCTGATTTGATTCGTTCTGTAAATTCAAGGATTAAGTGACTTAACTTCATTAACAGGATTTAACTGTAACACTGCATTGGGATCACTTGTGAATTTATCTCAGTTGTACAAATATATTTAGTGCATAATAAATTGTAAAACGGCAGAAAAGAACATTTTCTTTAGTGTTATCCTAGTAATTTTCAACATCAATTAGTGAAGATGTTAGAAATGCAGAAAATTTCTTCTGAAAGTTAGGCAACTTGTAAAATACTCATAGAGATAATGAGAATCTGTTGACTTAACTACTGTATTTTAAGAACTGCACGACTGAAGCATCCAACATATTTGCAATGAAACATAATTCTGTCGTATCAATTAATGTATGCAGATAACCATGGACAACAGTTCGATTTGGAAGATGTACAAATACTTGACAAAAGGAATACTGAAAATGCCGGGGAATTTCTACAAGCCTGCTGGTAAGAAGAATCTGCAATCAACAGACGCATTGACATAGATCAGGCTTATCAATCAATTAAAAAGGAGTCACAAGGAGCAAAAGTTAACAAAATAATCAATAGCAATACAAGGAGACTAGAGGTTGATATCGTCTCTAGAAATAACCAGACATGTTCAAAATGACCAGGCTGATAAACTCGTGAAAAATTCTAATAGCTACCTTCATATTCAAGTTTGCGGTGGAAATGTTGTTTAGAAAGGCAATGAAAGCTTCGCAATTAAACCGTGCAGTTCAGAGAACACAATTACACCAAATAAGACGCCTACTGGTTGACGTGGTTATGACTTAAACATTTTGATGTTTATGCCATATAATTATTCACTTGTATAGGTAACAATAATAAATAACAAATCACAACCTTCACTAAAGACAATGTTATAAATTCTCCCCCCGAATTATTCCATTTTTTTCATCCCCTGGGATTAAAATGTATTCATCAATTAATTTATAGATCTGCTCCAACTGGAAGTGCATTATGCGTCTATGGTATGAATGAATTTAAAGCTGCATTTAGTGGACCTTTGGTACGCACTAATGCTGTACAAAATAATATTAAGTCATCGCCAGTACCAAATTCATTTTCAAACATTGTAAGTTTTAATTTGTTATTTTCTAATTAAAGGATAATAACTGCTGCTTAGTTTTCTCCGTATGAATAGTTTGTACATTAGACAATATTATTATTGACATCATCATTATTCATTTGGGTTCCGAACGGAATATGGAGATTCATCAGCACTTCTCGATTTCACTCTGTTCTCCAGTCTTTTTTACCTGTCTCCATGATTGCCTTTAAGCTTTCATTTTCTTCTCATATCATCTCCTTCATTTCATCCTCGGACATACACCCAAGTCATAGCTCCTATCAGGGTTCCAGTAGAGGGCAAGACACACGCTGTTACTCATCAGTCTCCTCGCCGTATGTCCAATTCATCTCACTTTCCTTCTGGAAACTTTTTGCGCGTTGCACAAGAAGTGGCTCTCGTGGCCCAAGTGGTCTAGTGGATAACGCTTTGGCGTTTGAAACTATAGGCACTGGGTTCGAGCCTCGGTGGGAACATCATCACTCACTGGGGAATGCAGGTACATTCAGCTGGTGAGTCCCAGATACGACGAAATGCGCGTCCTGGATTCCACTGCTAGTCGCCATCCACCAATTAATCTCTGTTTCATAGTTGGTTTGTTACAATGTTACCCTATTGCTTATCCTTTCCTTCCGGTCATCCGATCTTAAATATCGAGGCGGCGATGGAAGCTGTTGATAAAAGTTTGCAGCAGCCGGTTGAAAATGGTCTTCGTGACGCACGCTTCAACTCTCTGAGTCATACAGAAGCACTGACTTGACATCAGTATCGAGAATCCGAATCTTGTTCGTTATGCTGAGTGCAGAAGATTTCTACACTGGTGTCAGTAATGAAGGTGTGTCTTGCTTCCCCTATCCTTCCCTCGACATCCTCATTTGTGCCTCCTATAGTTGAAACGACGCTGCCTAGTTACCTAATTGAAATAGATGACTTCCTTCAAATTACTCCCATTGATGGCGATTCATCCAACATCATTTCGACCGGCTCCATAGCTGAACAGTAGGCGTTTTAAGTAAAATGAACAGTATTTATGATGTGTATTGCCTATTGTGTCGGGGATGACGTGTACATGCTAAGACTTCTCAGCGAAGTGTGTCCCTATATTCGATTCACAGATAAATTTAAATACGGTAGGATATTTCCATTTCTGAGTTAATCGATTGACAGCAAACGCTGCTAATCGACTTCTATTAAGGTGTATCACAAAACTGTGTAGAACTGAACTGATTGACTTAAAAGTGAATTTATTTTTCAGCCCTGTTTATAGTATTACAAGTGTATTCTTTACTTAACATGATGCTATTACTTTTTTATTCAATTTTTTCATCAGTGTTCAAGGTTCAATTCAAAAAATAGAACTGATGAAGAAGTGACAATCGGTCGACGTTTATCCCTACGCTTTCCATATCGTTATCTACCAGTTAAACCATTGCATGGTCATGCTTTAATAGCACAGACTGGTGTTAATTGGTTGCATTTACAAGCTTATAATCTGCCTGCATTAACAAATCATTATCAACAAGAAGAACAAGTAACAACAAGCATAATATGGATTGGTACAAAGAAACAGCTAACTCAATTCGCTTTATACACATATTATGATATAACAGCATCAGCAAGACAGAATCACCCGACGTCTGGTCAAGATAAACTGCCAACAACAACAACAACAGTTGCTACAAACACAGTTCTATGTAAATTAAAAGAGATTCATCTTGGAAGACAACTTGAATCATTCATACCTCACATATCCTTTGAACCATTAAATTCAGGTGTAAATAGTCAGTCGCCAACAATAAAATCCCAGTCACATTTAGACAGAAATCATTCTTCAGGGAGAGTAGGTAGAATCAATTTACATTCAGTTCATTCTCCACAAGGAACTAGTGATGATGGTGATGATGACGATGATGTAGATAGTGAAGAAACATTTAAAGTTGACGAAGAAATTCAGCGGATAGAAATAACAGTAAGTAAACTTTGAAACTATAAACTTTTTGAAATCAATAAATTACATCATACATTTTAACTCTGAAGAAATCCGCAGTAATAAGACTTTTCTCTCTGCCTCACTAGTTTAGACACCTGTTAAGTGATGCCACTTAGCCAACAATCTGGTCTTTAACAGTGAATTGTAGGTGAATTATGGGAATTACTGAACCTCAGTATTATTATTAATATTCCCTTGGGTTCCTAGTGGAACATAGGGCTTCAACTGCACGTCTCCACTTGCTTCTGTCTTCTGCTGTACTTTTCACTTGCATCCATGTTAGTCCACACTGTTTCACCTCTTCTTCACACGATCTCCTCCATGTCACCCTTGGACGTCCAACTCGCCGCTTCCCTTTCGGGTTCCACTCGAGCTATGGCCCGACGCGTAATGTCACCCAACGGCCTCCTCAGCGAGTGTCCAATCCATCTCCACTTCCTCCTGCATATTTGTTGGGTGATTGGTTCTTGTTCTGTTTCTTCCCATAGTTTCTTGTTGGTTCTTGTGCTTTCCGGCCATCTGATCTTCAGTATAGAGCGAAGACAGTTAGCTGTTGATAAAGATCTGCAATCTGTTGGGAATATCCTTTGTGACACACTGGCCAAGTTTCTGATCCGTATAGAAGAACTGACTGACTTGACGTCGTTTGTATTGAAAATCCGAATTTTGTTGTTGATGCAGGCTGAGTGACGAAGATTTCCAGATTGGTTTCAGGTTGATGAATGTGTTTCTCGCCTTCCCGATTCTCGCTCGATTTGACATCCTCGTCTGTTCCTCCTGTGGTTGAGACAATGCTCCCTAGATAAGTGAATGAAGTAACCTCTTTCAAATCCCTCCCGTTGATGGTGATTGGCACTGGATGTTGCTGCTGTTGTTGTTGTTGTTGGTTGGTTATTTTCATAACCTCCGTCTTGTCTATGTTCACCTGGAGTCCTGTCTTTGCTGCTTCTTCGACCAGTGTGTTGGTTTTCGCTTGTAAGTCTTCGATTTTGTGTGACATCAAACATAAATCATCCACGCGCGAAATCCAGGTCTTCTAGGTTCTTCACGTCGGTCCAGGATATCCCTGTCTTCTCATTTCACACTGTCTGACGCATAATCCAGTCCACCACAATTAGGAATATCATTGGTGATAATAAGCACCCTTGTCTGACTCCTGTGTTTACTCCAAACGCCTCACTGAGTTTTCCGTTGTGAATCACTTGACATGTGCCGTTGTCGTACAGCTGTTGAATAAGGTTAAATAAGGTGAGGTTTCAGTATAATATAGTGAAAGTTTTTTTCCCTTAGAATCCATAGTTTAAACATCTAAAATCATCTTAAATGAAGATAATTATCAGGTTAACACTACGGCGTCAAATGTTATTATGTTTTAAGGCAGAACTGTTGATTCACGGTCTTAAAACTCTATCTGGTGATCAAATTCAAGTATTCAGGTATGAATGTAAGAAACCAATCTATATATTTTCTTGTATAGCTTGACAAACTTAGGCTAGTCAAACAAAATCAAAATTTATATTCCAACAATATCAAAATCCGGTTTGATCCGGCAGAATCTGCGGTACTTTAGAACAACAATAACTTTTATCAGAAAGCACAGAGCCATCTAAACAATGCTATCTGGCAAAAGGTTCCCAGGTGCAAAATACTTACTGTACAGCAAAATTGATTAACCAGTTACAACTTTTAAGTACCTGAGAATCAACACAAATATTCCCAACAAAATGGAATCAGAAAGAACACTGCACATTTGTTGTAGGCGGCCCATGGGTGAACAGTAACCCTGAATTCATTCAAACAAAACTGCAGTCGTAAATCAGCACATTATTATTATGAACATTCCACCATCACACAATAGCCAAGTGAAGCATTAAGAATAGGAATCATCCGGAAACAAAGACAACTGATAAGTATTAAGTTAAAAGGAGATATGAAAACGTTAGAACGATGTTGCACAGGTCAGGGGAAAGGGGTAGTAGTTGCAAAATTAGTTGAATTATTCAAATAAGTATCAAGATTGTGAATAGACTCTTTATGACAGGATTTTCAGATCAGTTATTCTGCTATTCTGTAATAAAGGAATATTACGGTTTTCATTCAACCCTCTCTTATTTTAAATTTTAGAAATGAGTCAGGTGAACTACACGATACTAAAATGCAGTGTTTAAATAGACTCATCGAAATACGAACTACTTACGTTTAATATATGTGTTTACTTTTGACAGTTTAACAAAAAACAATATTAATCAAAGGTTGAAATATCTATTTCTGTTGTTTCATACAGTTGTGTACTCTGACTAATTGTTTATTCTAACATCAGTGTGTCGGCGTATTCGTTTGATGAATAACTAAATAAATAATTAAGTCAAATTTGTATAGCTCCACCTACTAAATAACAGAATAAACGGCGTTTAATTTCATAAACTATGGCTAAACTTATAGTTATTGTCTGTTACTGAGTTTCACAGTTCAGATCAGTTGATTTCTGAGACAACAGTAATAAATTGTTTACTCATAACAAATGACGTGTTGTTAATAGCTTAACTGAGCTAAATAATTTTCTAGTTTCTTTTATTATTTTGGATCGTACCATTTCTTTTACTGATTAAGAAACCTAAAAACTAATGAGCAGTATTAAATAAACATTAGGATATCTTTCTTTTGTTATACTAAAGACATTACGAGCTGGGATCTGTCTTTGTGTTGTATGAAAAACAAAACTATGCCTTGAATACTTCTAACACACTCAACATTGAGATTCAATAACATGCGTCTTCCCCTCTTTTCTCCACCATCACTTCTAACCGGCTGCACGATTGACCACAAGGTTTCATATCCTCTTCATATGATCCTTTACATTTCACTGTTGGAGCCACGACCCCCAACTCATCGCTTCCGGTTCGAACTCCACTTGAGGGCCTGCCAGACATGTGTTATTTCTCTTGAGTATCTGAATATCCAACCCTCCTCAAAATCGTTCCGAGTATTTGTTGATTAATCGATTTTTGTCTGCTTCTCTGCCTTCCAGAATTCCTTGTTGTTTATTTCTTCCTACCATCGAATGACAACAACGTTGAATTAAAGGACACGCGTTAAGTTTGGAGGAGACCATGTCTTCAAAGTACGACACTTAACTGTACGCAGTTAAACAAACCTTAGGCTAAAAAGCCTGATGAGTTGGGCGTGTGGTTGAGGGTGACATGTAGGAGATCGTGTGAAGAGGAAACCAAAGCTTATAGGGTATTGTGCAGGCAGCTAAAGGAGATTGTAGAGAACAAAGTGGAGTCAAGATGTTCCACTAGCAAGCCTAGGGAATAATAACAAAGTTACACAGTTCAGTTAGTTATTTGTTATTTTTTGCCGGAAAACCACTGAAATCTAATAACTTTACAAATGTTTATATTCTTGTTTGCTAATAATCATAATCGCTATCTCCATATCTGGAGATTAGAATGGGCAACTGGTACCAAGAGCTTCTTATAAATCACTTGATATCAGCAGATATGCTGAACACTATTGATTGCTACTTGTTCGAATAGGTAATCTTCGTCCACTATGACTTTCATGACACCTGATTGATACGGTAGCGCATGAATCATTATGCCATTATTACTGTTTATAACAGTAAACAATGAGGTAGATGGCGAAAATCTCCGTATTAATTTGTTTATTTTAGAGATTTAGCTTATTCTTTTTTAAAACGTATTATAAGAAGAATAGCTGGTTTAAATTAACATCTGCTTCACTGAAGATCAACGCTACAGATAATAAACAACTTTACATAATTGCACTTAAACAATTAAAATGTATGATGTGTGTATTTCTGTAGAGGAGTTAAACAGAAACCAGTTTATTTACTTCATACCATACACACACTTCTAACAGTTGAATTTCATGTCAAAACATGAAACGTCACATTAGATTACTAGATACGATAGTCATTTGCCCCCTACATCAAGTAGGAAAACAAGGTGAATGTACAAAACATACTAAACCCTGAGACTGCTGGTGGCTGCTGGTTCGACTTCGGTAGCAGTGGTTTTATTTTTCACACCCAACCTTCCCTCTTTACTGAGTTTACTGCCGGCTTAGCGAGGTCTAAGTGTGAGTCAGCCTGGGGTCGAACCCCGGACTCCATTCATGGTTAGCGAGCGTTCTACCGCTGAACCCCCGGTGTACTTTTAAACCATAACCTCCACCTCTTTACAAAATATTTTACTGGAACATTTAGTCTATACGTAGCACAAGATTGACAGAAATTCAGCTTTCACAATCCTATGTAAGGTGTCACCTCAACTCACATAGTTGGTACGTCTTTGGCTGCTAGGCATAGCTGAGGCAGTGAATTTGTTGACGTAGAAAGAAGAGTTTTAAGTTATTTAAATGAAACTATAGTCTTCTATATGTGGATTACACTTAAACGTCAAGAATGCACTAATATTTCTACAAGTTATCATAAATTAACTTCGGCAGCAAACTATTCCGGACGTAATAAGATAAGAGTATTCCGTAAAACACTAGACACACTACAGAAACAATCTAGTTATTGTGAAAGACTAAATGATGAAGGATTCACTGTCTAACTGTGTGTAAATATACTCAGACTGTGATGCTATATTCATCGGGCGAATTTTTCCAGAAATCAAAGTCAGAAGAAATGACCACTGGGAACCCCAGTGAAAGTAGTAAAATGTGAAAAATTTACAAACATTAGAATCAGACCACAAGTTTGATTTTGATACTGTTGAAATCATCCAGAGAAGTATTTCAAAAATCACACTGAAGCACTCATGGCAGAAACATTTCACACAGAATGATATCCACATTGTCTAAATATGAATGAACAATTAGGAGTAAAATTTGACCTGGATCTAAACCCCTCTGTCCTATGAACTGATATGGCTAACCAGAATGTGTCAAATACTTTTCATTACCTAGACACCGTAGTGCTTGTGTAATTCATACTGATGTCAGATGCA